ATTACAGATGGTTGTGAGCCACCATGTGGTTGCTGGGAATTGAACTCAGGACCTCTGGAAGAGCAGTCAGTGCTCTTAACCGCTGAGCCATCTCTCCAGCCCCTCAATAAGTTATTCTTAAATTGTTAATTTCCCTCCTTCTGTTATAGTCTCGTGGGTCAGTGTTATAAACCCAGGGTGGCATCTTCACCCAACACCTTTGTATGTTGAAGGCCTAATGTGGAAATGGGGCCATTAAGGGGGTGAGCAAGGGTTAACAAAGTCCTAAGGGTGAAACATCACAGAACTAGTGTCCTGATGAGGTGACATGCCAGAGCGCCTGCTTCCTCTGTCCTTATGAGCACGTGGCCATGGCAGAACACAAAGACAGGCAGCTGAGTAGAGAGGCCCCTGAATGAACTCTGCTCTGCTTCAATCTTGGTCTAGGACTCCTAACCACGGGAACTTTAAGCCACTCAGTCTGTGGTATCTCCCTACTGCAACACAAGAACACTAGGGATACAGCACTATGGTTATTCTTCTACCTAAACACACTGACTGACTTTGCTATGTCAATCTAGGCTCAAGATGTAGCTTAGTGGCAAAAAGCAATTAGCATGTGCTAGCCCCAAGGTTGTTAGCCTTTAGAACTAAGAAACCAGAAACTCTTAAGGTTGTTCAAATTAAATGTATTTATTTGTGTGTGAGAGAATGTGTATGTATGTGTGTGGTGTATGGATCTCCTTCAAACCACAGTCTAGCATTCCCTTCAGCGTGTTGCAGATTGTTGGTTTGTGTTGGGGTCTATTTAAGATTTCCACACCAAGGAAAATCATGTCACATAAAAACTATCTGAAATTTTTGTGAAAAATTTTTCTAGATTAAAAAAACACTGCCTCCATTGCAACTCTTGGGGAAAAGGTGATTATTCTAGATGGAAACTCTCTCTCAGCTCTTTGTAGTAGAAAATCTTAAGTAATTACATTGCTAACTCCCAATGCAAGTACACGGTGACGTTTGGACAATGGCTTGCTGTGTCAGTACCGTATGGACAATGAGAAGAACCAGATCATGCAGCTGAAGAGAGCCACCCAGGGCTTCTAGAAAGGCAATGATAAGCACAAGGAACAAATGTTGAGTATCCTGTTGTGAGTCTTCATGAGTGGTACTATGCAGTAGCTACCAAGGGTACAGAGACAAGAAGAATGATGGGAAAGCCAAGAATGTGGAATATTCTGGGCAGTGCCATTCCTCGGCCCTTCCAGAGCCACCTTTTGCTGCTGTTCCATCTGTAGGCATGGAGTTGGCTTGTCTCCATGGTCTCCTGGAAGTTTTAACTCATGCTTAGGATCAGTGTGTGATCATCTCCTGTATGCCAGCCAAGTTCTGTATAACATCCAGGAATGCATTCTGGTAAAATTCTATGAGGTCACTTGGTTTTTCTTCTAAGCTTCAGGTCCTGTATCACCCTCCAATAAATGGTGCATTATTAAGGAATAGTCTCTCTGGTAATGTTCCTTGGGAGTCTCCTAGGATTCTCCTGGCTGGCCCTGGATTCTCAGATCTCTTGGATCTCATGAGGTCGTGCTTCAGAGCCTAATCCATGCATGATTAGATGCTGACTTTGGAGCTGGTTGTTCCGGCAGAGATGACCACATGGTGCTGCAGGCACCCAACTTGCCTAATGTGGCACAAGAGCCACCATCCTAACTGACAATGTGCAGTTGTCAATCACCCCCAATGCTTTCCAGTCAAGATCCACTGGTCTTCAGGATGGGGCTGTTGTCTGCTCTGCCAGATGTTTTCTAAGGTAACAAAGTGATCTTTCAGAGCTGTGAGACTTGCCTCCTCCTGTTGAATAGACAGATCTGGAGTAACTGGCATAGCCACATTCATTTGTGTTTAAATTAATTTTAGCCAACATACAACATAGTGTACCTCATTATATCTTCACACATACACGTCATTGTACTTCACTCCCATTCATCTCCCCATTATCCTCCCTCCTTCCTCCTCTTCTCTCTTCATGGTCACCTTGCTAGTCCCACAGTCCCCCTGTGGTGTCCACATATGTGAGTGTATACAGAATTGGATTCTGCAAATGAGAGAAAACATGTAACATTGGTCCTTCTTTGGCCTACTCCAACTTCTCTTGTTTCCCATCCTCCCACCTCAGACACTGTCCTCAGTCAACATAAAGTGAAGTTCTGCATAGTTGAGAAAATAAACAGTATTTGCAGTTCTGGGTCTGACTTACTTTATTCACTGCAATGAATTTTTTCTAGTCCTTTCTGTTTTCCTTCCTGCAAATGACATAATTACATTTCTCTTTACCTCTGAATGACATTTCCTAATGTATGTATGAGTATACATATATTACAGATATATGATATATATAACAATAAATATTTAGCAACATGTGAGATGCAAATGAAATTTCAATGACTCAGGAAAATGAGAAATTGTGAAAATGTCAAGTGTTGGAAAGCCTGTCCATCAGGTGCACATGGGCACCTGGACACAACTTTGTGCTGATAGATCAATCCTCGGTTCAAGGCCTTGGGCACCATTTCTGAGGATCCAGCAGCTCAGGAGCACACCAGTGATGGAAAGGCCAGAAGACAACAGAATGCATGCAGCATTCTTGCATTAACTAC